ACAGTTTGGGGGAGTGATAATTTTTAATCTGGTACTTACAGAGAAAAAAAAAAAAGTTTAACAGGGGCGTCATTTTGCTCTTTATAACTTCTGATGATGATTATTAAGATTTATGTCAGAAATTATGATTCAGGTGCACACCCCCACTTGTACTAATGTGAGGTCTCAGTCCCTGCGAATTCACTGTTCACTCAGGCAAAACTCCCACTACACTCCGGTTACATTTTGACTGAACACATCAGAGTTTTGCTTAAGAAAGGACATTGAGCTAGACTAACTGGTTTGTTACTATATTCTTTAATTGTTCGTATTTTTGCTTAGGATGGGGGGAAAGAGGAATAAAAAAAAGAAAGTCTGCCTGTAGATAATCACTGCTATGTACTTCGTGGTATAAGCGTGAATAATACACACGCACAAGCACGAAAGTATATGCGCATATGTATTACATGACCACAAATTCAACTAATGGCAATAAGTATGTATACAGACGCACACACAACCCTGCAGAGGTGTCTGTCCATGCACTAGTGTCTATAGCAGCTTCTCGGCAGTTTTGTGCAGTGAGAAGTTCTTGTTTTGAAATCTCTTCCCCCCCGCCTCCCCCCCGCCCCGTGGTGAAGGTGACTGGGTAAACGGATGGAAAAGTGGTGGAGATCTGGATTAGAAAGAGGTGAAGGTGAAGATCATTAGAGGTTTTAGGGCTGGCTGCGGCTGTTTTGCTGGGTTTGTGTGACTGTGCCCAGAGGGCGGAGTTCCTGCACATTCCTACCTCACCGGAGAACCTGCCCTCAACTCCACTGCAGCTACTCCAGAGAGATGGGACCCTCCAGAAGAAACCTGCCCAGCAATCCCAGCAAGCCTTCCCGCCAGAAGGGTAGGTGCACTTCAAGGAAACCTTCTCTACCTCTTCTCCTAACAGGCAGATCCATGTCATACGAACAGAGATGACATACTTCTGCCTGAACGTACCGTTTCCCCGTGCCCCCGATAAGCAGATCGCCCGTGCAACCGAAGCACAGTTTCAAAGCACCAGTTACACAAAAACTGCGTGTGCCTAATGTTAGGATTCTTTAAAAACAAAAAAAAAAAAAAAACCAAAAAACCAAACCTCCTTGTATTTTTTTTTTTTTTTTTTTTTTTTGGTCTCTTCCTCGAAGTGTTTCCTCCCCCGGCCTCCCCCCTCCCCCTCGGGCTCTTTCGTTTCAGTCGGTAAGTTGGAAGTTTCTTCGCCGGTTTAAGCAGTTCTCATGGTTCATCTGTAGATTTTTTAGTCTGTTCTGTTAACGTGCTCTTTGCTTTCTTGCCATAAACGCCAGAGAAAGTCACACGGGTGCAATGTTGTGTTTGCCTTTTTTTTTTAAGATGCCAGGAGAAACTGTCTGTACCTGCAAGAAAGGCGCACGATGACACTTGGGGATGGGAGTTCTCCGCCGGCGCAGGGTGAGTGCGGATTTTACTCCTCTTTTACACCCAGGAGTCAAATAGCTGTACTCGCGATCCGTGTCCTCTGGTAGCAGGGCGGAAGAGAGCGCCGTACCCGCAGGTCCCTGAGGGTGCCCTGCATTTTAGGTCACGGTTCGGCGTAGAAATATTATGGGGCTTAGGCTAAATTCCCCGCCACCATGCTTTCCTGGATAAAATTCGCTCCTTGTTCCATCTCTGATGTATGAAAGACGGTTTTAGTATGGCGAGTATTGGCGGGCTCCGTAATGAATTATTTCTCAAAAATCTGAGCCTGTCTCTTGAGAAAAAGCTGCGGGCTTCTCTCACCTTTTGGGGGTTGTGTAAAGAGTGCTTATATCCCTAAAGTCTCAGGACAAGCGGCTAAAGGCAAAAAAATCTGAGAGACTAAGGAGAGAGACCTTGTAAAGAGCCGTACGTCTAAAACTGATCTGGGTTTTGTTCTGAGTGCTTCAGCAGAGCAAAGGAGCCTTTATAATAGACCAAGCGCAAAGCTCCCTTCCACCGGCAAACTCCAGGCACTCTCTTTGTCTCCCCACTCCCCAAATTCCGTGACGCGTCCTGTGTGTGTGTAGATTTACGTGCTTAAACCGAAATCTCGAAATAGGGGCGGAGGTTTATAGCACTGGTTTGCTCAGCGTGACCATGCTGCAGGGGGGAGGGAGCAGGGGGGCGGGCGCCTGGGCAGGACCCCGGGACGGGGCCAGCCGTGGACCGTCCCGCTCGTGTCCTGTTGTCCCGACGTGGCGAAGGGAATGCGAGAAGGATCGTGTCCCACCGGCGGATGGCTTGAACTCCCTCGCTCCTGCCATGTGTAACCTCAGAAAAACAGTTCAATTTTTAATACATCGCGCATTAAGTTTTCCGTGGTGCTGGGAGCTTAGGCACCTCAGCCCAGTGGGCCGCGGTACCGAGCGGCTGTCCCCATTGCGCCGCAGGGGAACGGAGCAGGTGCGAGGGAAGCGCGAGTTTACACGCGCACAGGCACACGCCGGCGTCAGTCCCTGACAACCCCGCCGCCGTGCTGCTGCCCGCCCGGCACACACCGGCCCCGGGTGCCCCGTGGTTGGGTCCCACGGGGGGTGGTCCACCCGCCCTGCGCTGCCGAGACCGGTGCCCACACCTGCGCGTCTCAGCACGAAAGGACCGGGGCTGCAGGACCCGCGCGAAGCCTCCGTGCCCGGCCACGCGTGTCCGCGGGGCGAGCCGGGGGCCGGCTGGCCGGAGGGAGCGGCGGTGCCTCTCGCGCCGCGGGCTGGGGGCGCTCTTGCCTAGCGGGAGAGCGGGGCCATGACCGACCCGCGGGGTCCCGCTGCCCGGCGAAAGTCGTCGCTTCCCGGGGCCTCGTCAGCGCCCCGGCAAGTCCTGCCGGCCTAACACCGAGACCTGTATTTGGAGGGCTCGGGCAGTGCCTCCGCCCTTTCCTTCAGAAAGGAGGGCTCCTCTCCGTGCAGTCTTCGCATCCTTGTAAACGCCAAGAGACGCGCGCTGCAGCAGGGGAACGCGTTGGAAGTCCTCTTCCTGCGAATTAGTGCAGGATGCTCCCGTCCAGGAGCAGTATAGTAAACCCATCACCCTTTACTCCCTACTCCGCTGAGGCAAAACAACCCAGCGAAAACTTGAAAAAACAAAACCAAAGAATACAAATCAAACCTCCATAATAAGCAAATAACCAAAGCAACTACCAGCAGCTTTCCATCCCCCCATCCCCTCCTCATCCCCCCCAGCTTCTTAATACCATGTAACAGAATACAATATCAGGCCAGCGAATTAGACTTGCAGCAAGAGGATTTACTATTCTCAATCGGGGAAATGAATGCAAAGTCCGTTTCAAATAATTATCTCTAGGGAGTCCTCCGAGTGTATTTGGGGTTATCCGTGATTTGAGAGGCAAGACTAAAAGAGAGGCAGTCTGAGAAAAGCCTGTCATTGTCACCTTATCCTAAGGTGAGTAAAGCATCCTTGTAAAGTTAGCTGTAAAGAACTGCTTAACCTGAGACGAGAGGTGAAAGCTCTCCTGTCCAGGAGCCGCCTGGCCGGGGAGCCTGAATTCCGAGCTACAAAGGCGGCACGAAGCCCGGGCTCTCCTGGGTTTATATATATTTTTTTTCCGCCCGTGGGGAATTCAGAGCTCTTCACAATTGATTTCACAGAGGCATCTTTTTCAAGGCGGTAGGCCCACGTGAAAGGAGCCCTTCCCCTTCGGGGCTCTTCGGTGGTCAAGGGACGGGGTCTGCAGCCCCCGGGTGTAGGGGAGACCTCGCCCAGCTCCCAGCTGCCTTGAAGGCCCTCTCGGTTAGGTCTTCGTCCTGTTCCGTTCGTTAGCGGAAGGAAAAGATCTCGTAGCCCCCTCTCTGCCCTCCCCGCCCACTTCCCTGGTCTCTACCCAGAAATGATCTGATCGCAAGTGTTTAATATTAGATAGTCTGTTAAATTAATCATATCCAAGGGGAGACAGGTATCTGCCAAAAAATCTGGCTACAGAGTAAAAAAAAAAAAAAAAAAACCAAACCACAGTAGTTCTTTCTCAGCCTTGAAGAAGGTTAAAAAAAAAAAAAAAGGAAAAAAAGGGGGGGAGAAAGAAAAATATTTGCATTCTCATGAAAATAACTAAAACCTCATTGTGAATCACTGCATGTTCCCAAAGGCTGTAACTTTTGCGAATTAAATACTGGTAATATTTACCGGTTACCAGACTGTTCTTTTGAAGCAAAAATCTGGGTGATGCTACTCTAGAACCTGTGTTTCCACCCCTTTTATGCTCCTTGCACACCCAAACACACTCGCATCCCTACACCAGCGTATTTCCAAATGAGGATGACGGCTCGGACGAGACTTTTCACAAGACCCTGAACGAAACAAAGCTGGGACAGATTACTATGAAGTCTATGAAGGGATGTTGTTAAGCGCATGATATAACTACTTATATATTTATCATGGCCAGTATCATAGGTAACTTTGAAACATGCTAGTGATAACTAAATTTCCTTTAAGGTTTCTGAACTGCACTTCTGATAGCGGGTGCATCTTGAGGCGAGAATCACAGTGATACAAAACGGCAAGGGTATTATTAGCATGTAGTGCACACACACACTCATATGGGTCTTTGAGAAAACGGATGAGAATTATGCAAATAAAAATCGCATTGTTGTTTTATCAATGAACTTTTCCTGCTATATAGCTATACACACACAAGCGTCTACACACGTGTGTATGTATGCACGTATATATCTGCCCTATCTTTTCTGAATGTGAAAGTGTCCTCTAGCATTCATCAGCAAAGGCAGCAGTACAACTCCTTTCCTTGCTTGCTTGTTTATTCTATTCTAGCAAAGTTGTTTGTTTTTCTGGAAAGCGTGAGTTACTTTTAGTTATGTCATCACTATGATTTACATTTAGGTGGAAGGGTAGGACTTATTAGCTCTATTTTTATTATTAAATCAGTAAAGGTAAAAGTGCTAATAATTAAATACTGATCTCTGATTGCAGGTTGGAACAGCAAAATCGATTGTCTCTTCATCAATAAGACAAGTGTTGAGTAGCTTGCTATTGATTAGTATGCTTATTTATGCAGAACTTTAGGTATTTGCTTACATATTTCGGGTTCTTTGTCTGCTAATTATTAAACCAGATTGATTTGAACGAAAGAGTTTAGACTGGGAAACACACTTGACAGATCCATTCTTAGCTAACCTGATAGTGGATTATTGCAATCCAATAAGTTTAACAAATTACTTATACGTGCTTGCCTTTCCAGCAATTAAGAAACCGTTTCAGATTAAAACCCCTTGTTGCATTTGGGGTCGCTTCTTTTAAATAAAGGGGCATTCTGTTTTGATATTTTCCAAATGAAAAAAGATTTTCTGGATCGGCAGAGGCTGAACTGGAGTCGATGTGTGATTCGCCTTCCGGGCCCTTAGCTTCCTTTGTAAGTGTAAAACACCTTCCCAGCAGTAGCGTGGCCCCTGGGGGTTCCTCATAGATGGAATTTAAGAATCAGGGGTAATCTGAGTACAGAAAGCAGGAATCAATATATTAAAAAAAAAAAAAAAAGAAAAAAAGAAAAAAAAGATCGGCATTCAAATACCGAAGTACTCCAAGGCACAAGTTGTTTTTTTGGTTAATGATTTAATCGGTTCAAAAGAAATCACCCCAGCTTTTCTGCTAAGCAGTTTGGTTAGAAGCTTTTCCCTCCCAGGACCGCTGAACATTTTGATATATTTTTTAACACGCCTTTTATATATGTACATATATTTTCTCTCTCCCTCTCCGACACTGGCATTTTCTTCTGTGGCTGTTTCCGGGAGGGATCAGCTTCATCAATATTTTGTCTCCCCCGCCTCGCCCCTGCTGGCATAGGCACCTCGGCGGCGGAGGGCGAGCTCAGGAGGGGATAGCTGGCGGGGTGCGTTGTGATACCAGTGTGCAGGGGAGAAGCCCGCTGGTCCCGCAGCCACCCAGCCCCCCCAGTCCCCGCCGGGGCGCAGGTCCCGCCACCCCCTGCCCGGAGAGCGGCGCCGCGGGAGCCCGAGCTACAGGCTGGGAAGCGGGACCGGGACCCGGCGGGAGGTGCTGAGCAAGTGTCAAACCCTTCTTCGTTCTTAATTTCTTCCCGCTTTTTGCTTTCGGCAACTTTGTCGGGGAGGGTGAGGTGGGATTTCCCCCCCCCCCCCCCTTTTTACCTCCAGCAACTGCTGCTTTACAACCTGTAGAGATAAGGTGGCCTCACATCAGATGATCACCGAGATAAGTAATCTCTTCCCTCGGCCCGTGGTATAGCTGCCCGTATGCGCTTGAATCTCAGAACGCTAAGTCTTTCCTGTGAACGAACGAGAAAACACTCGACAGGTCGTGAATAATCGTTTTAATGAGTGTGTAAAAGCGTGCGACGGGGTGCACGGAGCTGTCGGGTTAAACAAACAACTTGTACCCTGACGAAATCCGATTGTTAAAGTGCAAAGTGGTGTCAGTCCAATTTCCATCCCAGTTCTAAAAACCACAGATCTAAGTCGCGGGAGTCCAATTTTCCCCATTAAGAAAAATAACAATATTTTCTGAACGTAAGTGCGATCGTGCCTAACGTTAGTCTTTGATGAAAGATAGACCAGTTGCATATCCCAGAGGCACCGAAGTTTTGTCTATTTTTTTTTATCATTTTTAAAGACATGAGTTAAAAAGTGTGTGGTTGACATTTTCCTAGATATTATCAGATCAGTGCTGTAAATATTGTCCTTTTATGTGTCTTCCCCCCTTATGTTTGTTTCTTTTTTTTCTTTATTTCTTTTTTTTTTTCTTTCTTATTTTTTTTTCTTCACAGATCACTGGAGGCAAACGTCGAATTAATTGGATCTCAGTGACTGAGGTTGGTAACTTTGTACTGAGCTAAGGTTATCTCTGTCATAGTGCCCAGGTGTTTACAAGACATTTCAGGCGTTTCTAGAAAAGATAGATCCAGAGAACACATATTATGGTATTAAAATGGAGTTACAGTATCATATTGTCCAAATCCAACTTATCTTACTCCTGTGAAGGAAGGCAACTCTCTGTAGGTCTGTATCAATTTATTTAGAGACTACAGATTCAGGAGGATCATTCTGGTGGTTTGGTTTGTTTTTGTTTTTTTTTTTTTTTTGGTTATTTTTTTTTCTCCCTCCCCCCCCCCCATTTTCATTTCAGAAAGCCTGCCATCCAACTATCCAGGTCTGTTTCCTTTACAGCCAGAGCACTATTTTCAAAATGAAAGTTCAAACCCCCCTCTCTTAAGTCCACTGATACTTTTTAAAGTTAGTAATGGCGCATATTACTAATGTTTATTGTTGCTGAAGACTTACTGACCGACCACAAGTCTGGTTCTCTCTTGTGAAAAGTCATTTTCACCTGAGTCCTCCCTTTCTTTGAGAATACCGGTTTGAGCAAAGCTAAGCAACCTCAGCTGGAAACCAAAGCTTTTTAAAATTCTTCACTCTTCCGTTTTGAAAAATAGTGTGGCAATGGAAAGTAAACGGCATACCAAAATGTATTGCTTGGCTGTAGACATAATGGGAACCCAATGCAGTCTCTAATGATACAAGTGGGAAATTTGCTTTTGGTACTGGTGGAAGTAGAATCTGACCATTCGTGAACTGGATGAGAGTAGCCAGATGGTTTTGGTCTCAAGCCAATTTCCAGCGTTTTAGCGTTTTAGTTTGGATTTAAGAAAGAAGTTGTTTGCTTTCTTTTTTAATTTTATCTTTTTTATTTTTTTTCCCACGAAAACAATTTCGTGTTGTGCTGTAGAAACGATGTAGAAATTAAGAATGAATATCTGTGAGTTTCTCGTCCCTGAGCGAAGCAGGACTGCCTTTGAGTACCTTCCTGTGAAATCGGTGGTAGAAAGAAAAGAGGGTAGAAAGAAAAGAGGGAGACAAGAAAAGAGAGGAAGAAAGCAGGGAAGAAGGGAAAAAAGGTAACTCAGACCCGGGGGAGTTGATAGTGTATCTATAACTAATGAGCCACCCGATCATATAACAGTATTTAAGAAGCATCTGAGAAACGTTCCGGGCATTTTCAAACATGGCTTTGTTCAGACATCTTTGCTCGGATCAGTCTGAGCGCTGAAGACTGTCAAAACCGAAATGTTGTTCCCACTGTTTTCCCGAACTCCCTGCGGGCGAAAAAAAAGAGTGTAGGCTCAGCCCCACGGAGGGAAGATAGAGGCGAATGAAAGACAAAGCGCAAGAACATGTGCCTCCCAAGCAGAACAGGACAGGAGGCTGCATCCTGGCAGCTAGAAAACAGTTCTCATCCTAATGAAAGGCTAATGTCCTCCTCCAGAAACCGCAATTTCCTCTGCAACAAAAACCTGTGGAAAACGGGCACGGTGGAGAGTAAAGCCCTGTCAGTTCCCTGATGTAGTTCTGCTAATAAATAAACTTCTAAATGTTTAGGACACTCTATCTGTCACATTCACGAGATAGGTACTGTAAATTCCCGTTGCAAATATACAAACAGAGAAGCAAGAGGTTGCCTCTGTTTTTGTATCTCTCTTTCACAAGAAATGCACTATCAAAACATTAATTATATTTGAAAGGGAGCAGATTATTTGTTTGAGAAAGAATTACATTCTTGATTTTATATTCCACGCAGATCTCTCCTGTCTGCGGAGAGGGTTGAACTGTAAATATGTCTCAAATGATGTACCCCTAAAATGTAGGTAGGTGTGTCACATTAGAGAGAGGGGAGATAATCTGTAGGTGCTTTTAGACACCTCTGTGGGATGGGTCGTTAGGGAACGTCGAAATCAACACGAAATTGCAAACCTAACATGAAGAACATACACCCTTATTCTCTGACAATGGGAATACAAACACACATTGACACGCAGAGTTGAACCTAGTTAGTTATTAAACATTGTGACTCACGGGAGTCACGGGAGTTTGGGCCTGCATTTCTTTTTTTTGTGTGTGTGTGTTTTGGGTGTTGGGTTTTTTTGTTTAGTTGTTTGGTTTTTTTTTTTTTTGTGTGTGTGTATGGGGCTTTTTTTTTTTTTTTTTTTTTGTGCCACATGCACACCTTGTGGTAGCCGGTACTGGAAAAGCTACCAACAGTGTAAGTCCCAAGCCAGCACCTAAAGATTATACCTCATTTCCTGCTTTCAAAAAGATTAATAGGAGGGTTAAACAGATGCTCTCATACCTCTACCTTTTTTCTCACAAAAATGGGGATCTACTGGGCCTTGGTTAGGAGCTCCTGCAAAGCTGTTTGCATTTCCCACCCTCCGCCAAGCAGTCGTTGAGTATTTCCTAACTTAACTTTCAGAAACCGTTCCCTATCTCAGCAGCACCGCTCTCCAGCATTGCAAGTATTTTGGCAGGGACTGATGTGAACAGCCCGGTCAGAAAGGGTGCCTGTGTCAGTCGTGTCATGCCTGGGGAAATTCGCTGCTAAATAACCTTGGCTAGGGCACCGGGGAAGCTGCGTCAGCGGCCGGCCCTGCAGAGGCTTTCCTATATTTCTGCATTTCTAGAGCCCTGGAAAAAGCAAGCCGTGGGGCCTGAAGGGCGGTCTCAGGGAGCAAGGAGGGGGGCGAGAGGAGGGCGGGCTTTGCTGCCTGCGGCTGTGCCTGGGATGTGCTCTCTCCCTGATTAGGTATCTGTGGAGGAAGAAGGTGACGTGACGAGAAACGCCTGACAGCCAAAGTGGGGAACTGTCCAGGAGAAGGATCCGTGATGAATGAGGTCTGAGCGGTCATGATGCAAAAGCAGAACAGGACAGTGTACTGGCATCAAATGCCGGGTTTTGTTAGTAGAATCAAAAAGGAAAAGAGGCGGGGGGTGGGGTAGGAGGTGGGGTGTGGGGTGCGGAGCAGTAGAGGTCTAGAGGAAGAGATCGGAGAAGTTAGTGGCTGTCTGGAGTGTGAACACGAGTCCATCATTCCCTTCAGGAGAAGGGGAGGCTGCGTTTGCCAGACGCGCTAGAGCCCAGGCGAGGGACAGAAGCATCACCGGACAGCTCCGAGCCACCGGCGCGAAATCCTCATCCAAGGCGACTCGAGAGACAGTACTTTACAGAGTAATCGGTCCCGAAATCTCCCAGGCAGATATTCGAGGTTAAGCCAGGCTCCTCGGTAACTGCCGCACAATCACAGGGAACAAGATTTGCCCCGGGGTAGGGGATCGGATGGGGGGAGGGAGGGCAAAGTGGGAGAAGCGGGATGACTTAAACCAAACCCCACTAAAATTGCAAACACTATTTAATCCCTTCGGTACCTTAGTGCAGATTTCAGGCTTCTTCCCCTGGTTTATAGGGGAAGGCTGCGGTGGCCGAGCCTGTAACTTCTTGCATTGTTTTTGACCGTGCACTGTATTGCCATAATGCCAATAAACGCTTTAAACGCTTCTCAGGAGAGCACGGCAGAACCTTCGGGCTCTAAGCCCCTGACGAAACGCGGCCTGGCTCGGCCCGGGGCTACGGGTCGCTCCTCACCTCCGGGAGCTCTTGGTGCTCTTGGAAAAAGCGGATGGCTGGGTGGAGGACACTCGCACCGGGCTCTGTGTTTGCTTTCCTCGGGGAAAGGGGCAGTTTGGCTTGCAAAGGGTCCCAGAGGCAAAGGATCGCTTTGTTTCAAAGGGGTCAGGATTTCGGGACCCTAAATTTAGCGGCTGGAGACATCCCTGGCAGAAGTTCCATCGACTTAGTGGCTGCTTACGAGAAGCAGCTCTCCCTGTCGTGTAGCATGCCCCTATCACTCTTTCTTCCAGTAAATGCCAGCAGATGGATGCAATTAAACCTCGACGGTCCTCACGACCGGACACAGATACAGGGTGTGAGAGGATCGGTCTATGGTCTAGTGCTCACCCCCAGGAGCTGCAGCAGGGAGAAGGAACCAAAAGTGGGTGCTCCCAGCTTCCATGTCTTACGGCAAGGGGAGCACGGCAGGACCCCAAAAGTGCAGAAGAGTTGGAAGCATTCAAATTTCTACGTAATATTATTAATAATCATAAAATCCCAGCAAAACAACAGCTCCCTTATAAAGGAAATCTGAGGAGCATAGTGAGCTAAGGGGAAGCTCTGTTTCCAAGGCAAGGCAGGATTAGTTAGTTCACTGCACATAATAGCCAGTGTGTAGGAATTGCAAATGAACATCACCAGCGATGCTGGAGCTACCCTTCTTAAATTAATATCAAGCTGGCCTCTCTGCACAACGTGCAAATAACAGGAGCTTCTTAGCTTTCGAGGGGATCAAAGATTTAAATTTATATATATGTGTATATATTTTTCCCTAGTTTCATCCAAGAAACTCCTCCCTGGTGTGGCCAGTCAGCAGTGCGGGAATTTGGGGTAACGCCCGGAAGACCTGTTTTGCGGGTTAAAATCCCATCGATAACCAACAGCAGCAAAACCCCGAACGAGAACCGACGTGGGCACAGGCACGGGATAAGCATGGCTCCAGGCCCCAGGAGACGCACAGCCGTGCCGTGAGCTGCTCTGCTCCAGCCGCGGGCACCGGCCGGGACCCCCGGTCTCCCCCTCGCCTGGGTCTGGGCTCCTCCGGCTCCACGGAGCTGGGGGCCGTAGCCACACGCTCCCTCTGTGCCCCTGCAGGAGCCGCAGGCCCGTAAAGCTTCTACCCCGTTATCAGACATGCAAGGAGGGGGGAGGATGCAATACATCTCTCCCCCACTGCAAAGACCGGAGAGAATACTGTGTGCTCCAGGGCTCTTTCAAGCACTTTAGGAATTAATGGGGAAGAGCGGGGGGGGGGGGGGGGGAGACAGGGAGGGAAGAGGCTAGGAGGATAGATACATTAAAAATGGTAAAATAAAAACATGATATGAAGATATATTTACTGTCAGCTCAGAGCCAAAACATTTATGCTCCCACGCCTTCTTTTTTTTTTTTTTTTTTTTTTTAGCAAATCGGAACTTAAGTGATGCATTTTAATTATTTTAGGAAAATAAGCAAGAAGGGTCTTTATTCAGAGTCTAAATAAATAGCAGAGTGTTCTGTGCTGATGATGTCTCTGGCTCGTGATGGCCTCATCTATGCAGCCACTACTGTGAGCTCTGAAATCCTGGGAAGAATAGGGTGTTACTGGCAATTTCTGAAAGGAACTATCCATTATTTGGGGGTTTTCTGAAACGGAACATGTGAAGAATTTTCTGACAGTTTGAGAGGTGAAAAGGGGGCCAATATTTTCCTAAAGCTGCAGCTCAGAATGATGGGTACCTAAATCTCATTATTGTTTTAAGCATGAGGTAAGGAGCGATTTTCCTTATTTTTCAAATAGTTATTTCAACTCCTTGAAAGTAGTGGGGAAAAGATACATGTTTTCCTGACAAAGAAGGAGCTGGATGCCTTGCAGTTTCTCAGATCAGCTTGGTGATTTTTTTCCTTTCTTTTTTTCTTTTCCTTTTTTTTTTTTTCTTTATTTTTTTCTTCACTGCTTGATCTAATCCCTGACAACTTTATTCCTGCATACAATGTGTCCCTAATCTTCAACAGATTGCAGAGACCTTACTGAAGTAGGGTGATATTCAGAAGAGCAACTTTTTATTTTGGGTGAGGAGGGGAGGGAAATGCTTCCTTCATTTAGAAGCAGAACTTATCTGAGTGTAGTAAAAAAAAAAATAAAAAAACAATAAAAAAACCCCAAAGCAAGTAAGAACACTGCAGAAAAGAGTCCCTTTAAGTTCACATTTAAATAAAATTATGAACCGGTGTATAGCAATTATAGCAAACACTAAACTGCACACACTGGCAATTCTATAGCAGAAAATATTAGTCATAATCTCCCTGTGTAAAAAAATCAAAGCAATGTTGGGTTTCAGTTGTCTACAGAAGCACCTAAAGCATTGAAGGCCATCAGGTCTTAGTCCAGTTTTCCTTTCTGACAGGACTTACCTCTACATCTTTACTAAAGCCCTTCATTATGTTTCAGATACTCCTCACCTCCACACCAAATTCCAGTTTGGGTAGCATACATTCTGTCACTCAAACGCTGCAGCCAGTTTCTGTCAGCTTAAAATGAGCTCAGTGAAAAGTGCAGAGTACCTGTAGGCAAACTCCGTTCTTTCTCTTTGTGGTATATTTGTACTGTATCTTCAAGACTCACCAATGAAAGTTGTTGCTTTGGAGGCTGTGCCATAATCTGGCACGTGCAGAAAAGTTACATGGTTTTGGTTCATTATTAAAGCAGAACAGCAGCATCGGTGACAGCTACGTAAGACCATACCAAGAAAAGAGAAGATAAAGGGAAGAAAACCTAACAGCAGTGACGGCAAGTAAGTAGATGTGTTTTACAGAGCAGGGTAGTACTACTGATTTCCAGCCTACATAATTGCTGCCCCAAAGATGGAGCAGGCCACAGCTTGTAGTACCCAGACAAGTGATGGCAGAAAACAGTGCTAGTCTATAGGTGTCTGAACATTGTCTTGGTTTTGCAGCACATGAAGCCACCTTTATCAATGTCTCTAAGAGTTTTCTGATACATCCATGCCTCCAGAAGCAAAGCCAAAAAGTGCTTGCTGCCTTGTATTCATGTACGTCATAAACATGTCCTGACTTTTCCTGTACAGCTCCACCATGACCTTCTTGAAATTCTGATACAGTGTCATTGGTTTACAGGAAGAAACTTGGACATCAGGACTTCCATAAGGTTGTGTGTGAGCAGAGGGGTACAAGAAGTGTTTGGGAAGGAAGTAGCCCATCTGCCTTATCTTTCCCAAAGAACTTTCCTGCCTTCTCCTGCAACTCAGTAGAGCCCATGGCACCTCTGTTTTCTTTTCTGCTGCTTCAGAATCTACTGAACCTTTACATCCTTTCTTGATGGTCCTGGCTTATCAGTGGGAGGAATAAATTAACTTTAAAAAATGTAAAAATTAGGTTTGAATGTTCTCAAAATATTCCTGACTGATGGACTGATGGAATCTGGTGAAAAAGATTCCTCAACTAAATGCTGTAAACCCCATGAATCTAGCCATTTGATACCAAGTTTGCAAAAAATCTAGAGAATAATGCAATGTAAGGAACATCCTTTCATTGTCAGGAAATAGATGGTCTATCATCATCTTTCATCTGTATGTTTTAAAGTTTCTAGTTTCAAAAAAGCATAAACCAAATTAGCATATCAGCTTGGGATCCTCACTTAAAAAATCAGTTATTTCAGAGTTTTTGGGGAACCATATTTAGCTGAACCTGAAAAAGAAGCAGCAGTGTACAGTGTTGACAATACTGAACAATGCTGACTTGCAGAGTATTATAATTACATTTCATAAGTAACATATTACTCTCCAATACCAGAGTTTTTCAATCTCCTTTTAGGGTCATTGATTAGGCATTCTCCTGGCAACTATAACAGGACCCTGTGTTCACTTTTACTGAAAAGTCTGCTTGATGTTTGGAGGATCTCTTAATTAGTTATTAATGGACTTTCAGGATCTGTATAAACTGCTGAAATCATGATACAAATGATCTATTCCATTTCTTTTTATGACCTTGATCTACTATTGAAATAGCGAAAAAGCACTGCTCCCTTTGCCCACATCTAGCTGTATGAAAATAATCCTCATATCTGAATG